CTTGGGATGTGTCGTGTGCTTGCCATCAGACGACGGCGGGTCCTGCCGGGGTCGAGGTTGGACCGCACCGGGTTTGACTGACGGTGCCCATAGACGCCGGCCTCGGTGCCGGGGCTGCCTGGGGCTCGGCGGGGACCGCCAACCGACCGCAGCTCTTCCAGGGACTTCCGCCGTGGCCTGGGCTTTTATACGGCGTGCCCTCGGCGGAGGTCAGGATTCTAGGTGGTCGGGTGTGCAAGGAGGCCAGGCGGGAGCCGACTTCTGCGGCTTCTCGAGTCAGCAGCGTCTCTTCTGCATTTTACTGGTAACGATGGAGTCGCGGAGGCCAACCCGGCCTCAAGGAGGGGGGACGGCGGGCAAGAGGTTAGCAGCACGTCGTGAAGCTGCCACCTAAAACGGTAGCTTCCAGTCTGTACGGTCTCCAAAAGAATACGGGAGAGAGGACATGGAAAATGTAGACAAGATCCCAAACCACCTGGAGGCCCTTCCCCTGCGCCCGGCTGAGGGCAGGCCCCGGAACATAAGAACGGCGGCCTGCCCCGCGGCCCGGGGAGTGTGCCAGGGCCTGGGCAAGGTCCCCGAGCCTCCTGGGGACCCGCTTCCTCCCGCGCCACCCGTCCCCGGCCCCTCACGTCCAGCCGCGGAGGAGACGGGCGGATTCTAACATGCAGCAGGTCTCGCGGTGGAGGGGATGCCGCTCGCCTCGTGCCCGTCACCCCTGCTCCCACCCGTGGACCCCCATCCGGCCACGCGAGCAGAGCCCACCTCCCGGGACCCTGGGGAACGGTGTCTGGCCGGGAAGAGGGAAGACGGATTTGGCAACACGGGCTGCCCCACGCGGCCCCACAGGTGATCGTCAGTACGTTGTATTCGAAAACTCAAAGGTCTGCGGGATACACAAGCTGACCCAATCGCCCTCATCTCCGCGTCACGATTTGGTGCCGTCGCCGATGAGCCTAAGCACGCCGCCTTCCTCTGAGCGCTTCTCGAGCTCGCCAGGACTAGCAGCACCTCCCTTGCGAGGATGTCGCACACGCAGGGCCAGCGGCACAGCTCTCACCCGGTCCCCTGCAAACGGATTATTGCAGATTCCAAATTAACACTACCCAATGGGATCTTAACAGTTTAGAGATGACTAAGGTGGGGGAAAACAGCGTAAGTACGAGTCCACAAACAGGGAAAGGGGTTGGGGGCAAAACGTTCACAATCTAGGAAAGAAAAGGTCTTTTCCGCGCTTGGCGCGTGCTGATATTTATGTTACTTGTGCTTGCATCACATGCATGGCATTAAATTCCAGGTCTTTCTAGATTTAGACCAAGACCCTCTTCGGGGCTTGCTGCAGGTTTAACAGGCTTGTGTAAAGGCCCGTGGCCCCCCAGAGCGCTCCCCAGACGGGACGCTGCTGTCGCAGAGTGCCCCGATGCTGAGAGTGCTGCGCCAGGCATCACCCGGTCTGGTTCCCTGAGCCTCCCTGAACAAGTCACCCAACCTCCCGGAGTCTGTTCCCTCAGCTGTGAAGCAGCCCCTACACCTCTCAGCTGAGAGGCAAGGTGGCGCGTGACGGCCCTTTCCACTCCCTGGAACAAATCCGCACTCGGCAAAGCAGAAAGAGCACATCAAGCCTGTGGCTCGCCTGCAGAGGAGGTGCAGGGGCCGCCAGGGCCGTGGTTTCAGGCACACGGACAAGGCAATGCTCTCCCACTGCTGATCCCAGCCTTGATGTCTCGGGCTAACGCCAGACGAACCCCCTTGCCGGGGCCATCTGGTCCTGGGCGCGCTCCCGGGAGGCGGCTCCACGCGAGTCACAGCAGCCGCAGCAGCCTTGGCACGGAGGAAGGCCTGATAGGATCTGCTGCCCACTGCAAGCTCAGGCGACGGACTTAAAGGGAACGGGCACTGAGGGGAAACAGCTACAGGAATCTGATTTACTCAAGATTCACTTTCGGGTTAATTTGGATTCATTCTGGATTCGATCACAAGGAAATGCATGGGTGCAGGGGGTCAGAGTGGAGACCTTCGTAAGTCACGGGGTGAGCATGGGGAGCGTAGCTGAGAATACTGTATCGCCTATCTGAAAGTGGCTCAGAAAAGTAATCTTAAAAGTCCTCATCGTTAAGAAAAGACTTTTAGGACTGCACGGGTGGTGTGTATTTTTTCTTTGCCCTCCTTCCCAAAGGCAAAGAACCTGTGTTCTATAAAATTATGATGTGGAGAGAAGTGAGATGAAATTGCGTGCTAAGTGCAGGGAGTACTTTACTGGTCGGCCAACACCGTCATTACTCTCCCCAGGTAAAGACACCCCAAAGTTAAGGGGTGTGTATACAAACAAGGCACGCAGACTGTGCCGGGCTGGTAACGGGGGCTGGAGACAGCAGGTGTCAGCGGCAATCACCTCCACATGTCACGCCGAGTGACAGAATGCTGAACGGGAAACAAAGACGACAAAAGCTACGGCGCAGTGTCATGTACGTTCAGTGAAGTGTAGCTTAGAAACACAGCACCTGTGGAGCAGGACATCCTTTTCCCAGGACGTAGATTTAGAGACGTGTCAAACACCGGGGAACGGGTCGCCGTGTGAGAACAATGTCGGAAAACAGGATGAAGGAAGATCTTTATGACCAGGGAGCCCTCCGTGGTTAGTGAGAGCAAACCTGTGCACCGAGGAAACACAATTAACTGCACTCTGCACCCGAAGTTTACAGAAGCCCTAGGTCTGCCGAGAGGGCCAGTGGGTACGTGGTAAGGGCCAGCGCTCCCCGGCAGCCGCTCTGCAGACACACCGCTCCCACGGCAGCGCCACGTCCTCGGTGGAGCAGGCTTGCTCTCTAAGGGAGAAGAACCTTAACACTTACCTCTTCAGCCCCCTCCACCGGGGACGGAACGAACACCTTCTTGCACACACGGAAAAACCAAGTGGCTCTTCCCGAGTCACAGGATAGCTCGAGGGGTTTGAGCTCCGCGGCGAAGCCCATCTCCGCCGTGACTCCCCTGAGGCACCCGGACAGGGAGCCCCCTCGTGCTGAGCCCTGAGGCCGGCTCTTGTTCCGAAAGCGAGGTCTAAACATTTTACGTTATTTTCTTCCTCAACTAACTGCTCGAGTAAAGGCAGGTCTGGAAACCGAGCCTGAGGGCGCAGTGGGGCACCTTTGCGTGTTCACATCTACAAGTAAAGAACCTTTATGGCAGGCTGACGACATGCCAACCCGCCCAAACTCAAGGAGAGTGACCTGCGCCACGTCACGAGCCGTAACACGCTCAAACGAGGACATTCGCCTTCCTCGTAGCTTCCCAGCCCCCTTCTGGGGGTTCCGATGCCAGGGCAAGGTGGAGTTACTCCTCCCAAAGTCCAATCACACGTGTGGAGAGGACAAGTCACTTCTGCTCTCCCATGTCATTCTGACAGCCAGGAATCAAAAGCTGAGGCTGGAAAGCTTCCGCTAGGCAGCAGTCTGGCTCCCAGAGCCCAGCAGGCATGGCCCGCACTTTGTGAAAACATCACCTTTAACCCCTGTCTAAAAATGACAGCTAAAAGCCGACAGGATTCTGACTTTTATTCTTAGGTAAGAGCAGATAAAGAACAGGGACAAGTAGCAGCAAAAAGGGCCTGTCATCCAATCCGGCTGCGTCCGGGCCTCAGGAAGCGCACCTGTGCAGGACACACACCACTCAATCCTCGGGGACCCTCAGAACCTCACTTGGGGCCTGAAGTGCATCTGCTTGGTGGCATTGTTCTTCATTCCGGTCTTCAGCATCCACTTCGATTTCATCCTCTGGACGTACTGCATGTCCCGCTCATGCAGAAGAGCTGCTCCTGGGGTTGCAGAGGGGACAAGAAATGGGGCAAAGGTTATTTGTGATCAGGAAAAAACCCCAATCGTGAGAGAGACTCTCAGACCTAACTAGAGGGTGGGGGGCGTGGTAACCAGGTTCTTACTGTGAAGGGCACTGACCTGGGGTCTCCACGTAGCGCGTGGGGGTTATACATGCCCAGAGCTACAGACAACCACCTGTACTCGCACACGGTCTCTGGGACAAGCCTCACTAGTTCCCGTCACCTGGACGGGTCTGTAAGCCCCAGAGGTAATGCCCCACTCATCAAAGGTGACAGAAAGGCAGACACTATAAATTGAGTCAGGTGATAGTTCCTGACAAGAGTAAGATGAAGTCAGCATCTGCTAGACCTAAGTGGCAGCCGGCGGCCAGGAAGCCAGTGTAACTAAGCACCGCGGCACTGCACACGGAGCTTATCCGTCTAGGACTTTCCATGCCCGCCTCAGGGAGCTCCCCCGTCTGCTCCAGGCCCCAGGGGGCTGATGGTCTCCCCGAAGATCTAAGCACTGAGCTGCTGTAGCACACGCGTTAGGACAGGCAACCCACAGATCTGCCAGGTGCCAGGGGGTCCTGTTCTTGCTCCCATTTTATAAATGAGGAAACAGAGGCTTTGGTCACTTAAATTACTCATGTTCCTCATGTAAGAACCACGTAGTAAATCAGGTAAGTCGAGTCTGACTCCGTACCTCGAGCTGTTTGCCCCAAGGACACTAGTTAAGTCCTCCGTATAACCTCCAGGATAATTTCCACCTTTGTTGACTACCAAGTACTTATTTCTGTAACTACTATCTATTATATGCCATTTTAGAAAGTTACTGCGCCAGAAATATGAAGTTTTTAAGTAACAGAGCTTTGGGTTTATTGCCATAAACATATCAAGTAGTAACATAAGGCCCCAGAGCCAAGAAGTTCCGTTTCCTCTAGGGAGGACCCATAAGGACATCAATGGAAAGGACTCCAGCCAAGCCCCTCGGGTCCTACGAGGCCCTGGGCTGGTCCACGGTGGTACCCACACACCTGTGCTGCCGGTCCATCCCAGGGCTCTGTACTGCTGCAGTATCCGGCCCACGGCCTTCTGATTCTTAGCAACTGCCACAGCCCGTGACAAGCCAAATCGCTGTTTGTAGTATCTCATCAAGGAGCGGTGACCCACTCTGGCACCTGTTTTTCAAAAAAGCAAGATGGAGATGAAACAAAGTTCTATCCGCTAAAAAATAAAAAAATAAAAATGAAGTAGCATATTAGAAAATGAGAGATGGAAAATCAAAAAATAGAGGGATTTTTATTTTTTTATTTTTTATTTTTTAATAGTAAATTTATTTTTTATTGGTGTTCAATTTGCCAACATACAGAATAACACCCAGTGCTCATCCCATCAAGTGCCCACCAAAAAATAGAGGGATTTTTTTAAAAAAAAGAGAATGGCAAGTCACTGTTACTTGAAACACTCAGCATCTGGTGTGCATGCTTCTCTAGCGATTGACACAGCAAACCTGTAATATGGATAATAGGGCCTGAGAAAGGAGGCAGGGGCCGGAACTTCTTTTTAATACAAAGATAAAGCAAATAATAACCCTGATGTTCAAAACCTAAAAGTCTAGTCTGGATCTAGAGCAAAAAAACCAACCCACCTTTCTTCTGCCTAAATTCTCCATAGTGGTAGTTCTCAAGCCGCTGATTTCTTTACCTCCAGGGACATGTGGAGACACTGCTGGTTGTTATACCTGGAGGAGGCCGGCTAGCGGCTAGCAGACGGAGGTCAAGGGTTGTGCTAAACATGCTGCGGTGCACAGGACAGTCCTCCACAACAGTCATGTGGCCTAAAAGGTCCCACGCTCAGAAACCCTGCCCTGCTGTTTTCTATGTGACAGAAATCACCTGGGAGCCAGAATTCTAAAGGATGATTAAACTGCATTCCCTCTACAGCTTTTGCTTATTAGCAGAATCTGGTAAAACTCTGCAGGTCAACCATGCTTTCAGAGACGAGTCACTGTGGATTCCCCGGCCCGTTCCAGGAAGCGTGCACCCAGCCTCGGTTGCACAGCAGGAAAGTGAAGGGGGCAGAGCGGCTCCCTGACTCGGGCGCCCTCGCAGCAGGGGCTCTCACAAGGTGGTCCTGGCACGGCGGTATCAGCCTCACCCCAGGGCAATCGAATCTGACACTAAGTGTGGTTCTCTCACAGCAACAATAATCAGGTACCTTCCCAGACAAACACGGAGCGATTCCACGACAGCACGTGTCCACCGGGCACGGAACTGCCATTCCCGCTGCAAAGGGGTGAAGGACACATGGCGGCGGAGAACCACGTGCACAGCTTCCAGGAGAGCCTTACATTTACTTCTATCAGACCAGGTCTTTCACCATCTTTTGTGTAGGAAGACCATGAACAGGAGACTATAACTACTCCAGATGGCTGTATTTGCCTTTAGGATCTAGACCTTTCACTTACATGAAAAAATTCTGTCAGGTTATTTTAAGTCCCGATAGCTGGGGCAAGCCACCTGGAAAGGTTTGCTTGCTACACAAACATGGGAAAGTACTTACTTTCAGTTGTTTCTCTGCCATAGGATGCAAGAGATGACTCCCCCCCAAAAAAGACCCTTTCAATTCAAAGATGAGTCGGTTGTTGGATACCAGCAGAGATGAACCTGTCCCCTTGAACCTGTTTCTTCTGGAAGCCACTCGAAGAGTTAACAAAGCTTCTAGACCACAAGGAAAGGATACGATGCAGCTGACGCACGAGACTCCAGCTTCGAAGAAGGCTGCTACAGGAGACCCCAGCACCACTATCATCTTCTATTTATAGTAATAGGTCAGGACGCTCTAGGTTTGCCACACTCAGAATCATTACATGATAATGCTGGGTCACTGGGACAAAGTAAAACAATGTATAATGGTAAGCAGACTTTGGACATATGCATCATTGAAGAACACCCCTGAAAATTCAGGGTTCAGGGTTGAGTTCATTACTCAACACCAAGGTTTGTGACCCCAGCAGGGGAACTGAAAACACAGTTTAGAGCTACCCCTGCCCCGTGTCAATGACAGGAAGCACCAAGAATAACGTGCTAGGAACAGCTCAACTTGAAGGCCCTCATCTAGGAAAATTATTTTTATTTTTATTTTTTAAAGATTTTTATTTATTTATTCATGAGAAACAGAGAGAGAGAGAGGCAGAGACACAGGCAGAGGGAGAAGCAGGCTCCTTGCAGGGAGCCTGACGTGCGACTTGATCCTGGATCCTGGGATCCAGCCCTGAGCCGAAGGCAGACGCTCAACCGCTGAGCCACCCAGGCGTCCCGGAAAATTATTTTTAGAACACAGTGTGACTGCCCAATAAACAGGAGACAGGTTATGTCCTAGTGATGGCAAAGCCACACTCTGTCCATCGACCTTTCACCGTCACAATAACCACTTGGAAAACTGTCTGCTCCTACTTAACAAAGAGACAGTGGAAAAGAAATGACCCCCAGCTGTAATTTTCCCAAGATTAATTACATCTTCTCGTGGATCCACCACCAGTTTCATCCGGCTGCCCAGCTGCTCACTGCCTGCGTCTTTCACAATAACTTATCCACAGGAGCTGAGGAGCAGGGAAGTAAACTCCAGGAAGCGAGCCAGGCCTCAGGCTCCGCATACATGCTCACAGTGCCCCCTGCGGGCGCTCTTTGTCACTGGCTCTCCGATCACCTACTCCTTGGTGATTATGATTAGATCGAGGACGGCCGAACGACCGCTTCTGAAACCGGCTGAAAGTGGACCCTACTAAGTGTGGTCGATTAAATGTCACCAAGGTTTCCACAGTACAGTCCTTCTCAGATCAGCTTCATGCTAACATCCACACTAACTCAGTCGAGTAACTGAAAAGGTTTCTGACCGGCAGCCTCGTTCAAAGACGTAAACGGGACTGGACATACTGCTGTAATACTGCTCCTCGGTTACGGGGCTTACTCAGATCTCCCACTCTCCCGGCTCGTTAGAGAACTTCCCAAACCAGAACTGAGACATGAGGGCAAGTCAATGGACTAGAAACCATCATGTCTCACAGATGGCGAGTTTTTAACAGAAGACGGTGGAACTACAGGTGACATGAAAAGCAAGGTATCAGTCCACCTGGAAGACATTTCAGAATACTAGCAAACTTTGATTCATGAAGAAAGCTATTTATTAAACAAATTCTTTCTTTTTTTAAGATTTCATTTATTTATTCATGAGAGACAGAGAGAGGCAGAGACACAGGCAGAGGGAGAAGCAGGCTCTTCACAGGGAGCCTGACGTGGGACTCGATCTCGGACCCCAGGATCGCCCTGAGCTGCAGACAGATGCGCAACCGCTGAGCCACCCAGGCATCCCTAAACAAATTCTTTAATAAGGTCTCACCAGTCAATCATCTGTGAAGACCCACGAAGCTAGTGAAGGACTTAGATTGTTTTTATCAGTGGCTCTCATTATTCTCCAGGTCACAGGTGTTTTAAACAAACATGCATGGCCACACAGGTGATATTAAAAATTTCACTCATTTTTTTTGAGAAGGCGAGTGTGTGTGCTTGCAGCTCAGGAGCAGGGGGAGGGCCAGAGGGCGAAGCCGACTCCCCGATGAGCAGGGCGCCCTGATGCAAGCTCTATCGCACGACCTCAAGACCATGACCTGAGCTGAAGGCAGACACTTAGCTAACTGGGCCACCCCACACAGGTGACTAAGCACGATGGCCTTTCCCCAGGAAACGGCACATTCAGACGAAGCAATGCAGGCGGCCTGGTTAGGAGCCTGTGAGTACTGCCGCTCACGTCTCTCCAGAGTGTCTACAAGTGCAGTACCTCACAGCAACACCAAACCACTTACTATCCTTCACTACTCCCTGTCCTGAGGCTTATTATCTAATAGTAGGTGGCCAGCAGCAGTGCAAGGAATCCAGGCTTTGTTTTTTATTTTTTTAATTTTTATTTATTTATGATAGTCATACACAGAGAGAGAAAGGCAGAGACACAGGCAGAGGGAGAAGCAGGCTCCATGCACCGGGAGCCCGACGTGGGATTCGATCCTGGGTCTCCAGGATCGCGCCTTGGTCCAAAGGCAGGCGCTAAACCGCTGCGTCACCCAGGGATCCCGGAATCCAGGCTTTAAAAAACCAGGGAAACTGGACCTTCAAATTAATCTCCCGCCACTGTCTTCTTCGACTACATGAGGATGTAGAGACAAGCAATCTGCTGCACGGTGCTGCAGGCCACTGACTGATTCCAAGCCCGAGGCCCCTTAGCCCACAATGGTTCCCTCTGCTCTGCTTCTCCTGGTCTGTGTCAGGCCCAAGACAGTCGACCTTACTTTCCTTTTAAAGTCACCTCCAACCCCTCAATTACTCAGTCAACAAACATTTATCTGGCTCTCGTGTGCCTGAGACCCAGTGCTGAGATGAAAGCAGCAGATGAAACCCCTTTTTAAAAAAGTAAAGGGGGAAGAGAGGCAAGCAAGCCAACAATTACAAAGGAGAGGACTGTTCCGACAGATAGGCAAGTGTCCCAGGAGCAGAGGAGACTCCCCACACTCAGGGCAGGGGCTGAGTTCACAAAAGCTGATGGAGGGGCGAACCCACGTCTTAGCAGCAGTAAGACAGAAGCACCAGCCATGCAAAGTCCCAGAGGAGGGAAACTGCCATTGGGCAGGTAAAGGGATAGAACAGGATACCTGGTGGGGGTCGCACCTGGAAAAACTAACTTATCGGAAGAACAATGGCTCCCCCTGGAGGAATTCCAGAGGAAAAGGAAACAGACTGGCGTTTGTTCTGGGAAGAACGCTCTGGGTGGTAGAGAGGACACCAGAGTGGAGATGGACACATAGGGAGCAGTAATGATGACAGAGACAAGCGTTCAAGAGAAAAAAAGGAAAAAATATTCAAAGGCTATATAAGATTTGCACTTAGGAACCATTTCTACGTGGGAGAGTATCCTGACAAGACGCCCATTTGGGGCTTTGGCTAATCTTAGCTCAATCATCCTAGGAAAAGGTGTTTTCTAGACCCCCCCCCAAAAAAAAGACCCCTAAGTAAAGCTGCAAAACTTTTATGTTTAAATGAAATTTCTCTCAAATAGACTGTATCTCTTAAATAGGATATGCTCATTGTGCACAGTCTGCTATCGAATATGCTGGAGTCAACGCAAAACGAAGCCCCCATTCTTAATGACACGCCAGACGCTACAGGGATCATCTTAGTCAACTTGGGCACAGTCCGGGTCATCACACTCTCCAGTCAAGGACATGGATGCTCATGAGGTAAGGGGCTAAAAGAGCCCGCCCTGGAAATTAAGTTATTCAGCTTATTTCTGCTATAGTGTACTGACATTTCCACCAGAGGAAGGCTACAAGAGATTTTCTGTAATGTATTTTTGCTCCTGTGTCTTGCACAGGCCACAATGCCACGCCTGACAGCGCCCTCATCACTGTAAGGAGAGTTACGTCTTCGAGTCAGGCTCCGCCCGCCCCTTCCTCCTACGTCACACTCTAAAGCTGCCCTTGGCCTCAAAGGTCATTACTCCGAGTTAAGGAGCTGTCCGTACCTAAGCAGTGCTATTCTATGTGAAGAGCCGTGATACAAGACGGTTTCTTGAGCAGTCAGCTCCACGAGCAGGATAGCTGCTCCTGCCCCCACCGTTGCTGCACACCTCCCAAAGACAGGTTGGGAAGACGTGAAAAAGGCTTCACTGACTAGGGTCTTGGGTCAACTCTTCACCCTACTTAAATTGCAGCAGGCTTACAGGTCAAATAAGGCTAATGGACTCTAACCCGCTTGTAAAGATGAAATAATGTAGCCACGTACCAGGCCACCTTTCAGTAAATAGTATCATTAGGACTTTACTATCTCCATGGCTCCATGCCCGTTCCTTCTCACAGGTGCTTCTGTAGCTTCTCCCATTCTCATCAGCTAATCCTAACACTGGAAGCAATAGTGGATGCTTGTCAGACCCATAGCTTTTGTCCCCCCACCTTTTCAGTCAAATCTTGTTCCCTCAAGTAGCAGGCACAATTCCAACTCCCTGCCTCCCTACCAGAATCAGAATACAGAGGCAACCGGGCACTGTCGTTAGGTACGCCTGGGACAGACTACCAGGAGGAAGTCTGAGCAACACGAGGAAACAGGAACCAATTCAAAGAATAAGAGCAGGGCCATGACTTACAAGAAAAACCTAAAAGAGGCAATAATAATAATAATAAAGAACCAAATGCAAAATGTCTATGTATTTGAAAGGAAATGACTGATCAAAGCACTTGGAATCGTAACAGAAGCAAAAACATTGATAATTTCAATGAAACAGCCAACACAGAGCTAAGTGGCAACCTTCAGAATTTACTATGTGTCCAAGAACATAGAACTTAAAAAGTTTAACTATCTTCCTCAGTATGGAAGGGGACTGATGTGACACGCCTAATAATCTCACTGGCATTAAGCTATTTATCTTTGACAAGTGCACTTACCAGAAGGTAGAATCAGCTCCATGGTTTCATCATCGTATTCTACTGTCTTTTCTGAAGGCAATTCCTCAGTCTCATCAGGGTGGTCCCCTTCCTTGTGATCCGGATAGCTACTCCTGTAATGGTGGCATTAATAATGGCATTAATACAAAGACTAACACCCCAGATTTAATTAAAAGATAAATTGTATTTGCAAAATGGCAAACCCACTAGCTACCTCAAAGCAGGGGATATATAGCTACAGGCATGACAAGCTGAAAGGTTCAGTAGAAGAACCAACCTGGGTGCATCCGCTGTAATAAAAAGCACGCAAGTGACCTATAAACTCAAGATGGATCACAGACCTAAATGCAAAACGCAGAACTGTAAGAATGCTTAGAACAGAACATGGGGAAAAAATCTAGATGGCTTAGGGTTTGATGAGGACTTTTTACATACACCACCAAAGGCATGATCCATGGAAGGAATAGTTGGTAAGTTGGACACTTTGTTAAACTTCTGCTCTGGGGAAGACAATGTCAAGGCAATTAAAACACAAGCCATTAGATTGAGAAAAAATATTTGCAGAAGACATATCTGATAAAGGACCATTATTCAAAATACACAAAAAACTCAACAGGAATACAAATCAGATTTAAAAATGGGGCAAAGACCTTACTGGCCACCTCACTAAGAAACACAGATTGTAGACAATGATGCTTCACAGCATGTCACCAGAAAAATGCAAAATCAAATGAGATAACACTACACGTGTATTCAAATGGCCAAAATCCAGAATATGACAACACTAAGCACAGGTGAGAAAGTGGAGCAGCAACAACTCTCATTCATGGGTGGCGGGAACACAAAATGATGCGGCCATTTTGCAAGACAGTTTGGTGGTCGTGCAAAATCAAACATACTCTTTACCACAGGATACAACAATTGTGTTGTTTAGTATTTATCCAAAGGACCTGGAAACATGTCAACACAAAAACCTGCACACTGATGGTTACGGCAGCTTTATCCATAATCGTCCAAACTCAGAAGCAACCAAAATATCCTTCAGTAGGTGAGTGGATAAATGGTGGTACATCCAGACAGACAATGGAATAGTATTCGGTGCTAAAAAGAAATGAACTAGTGAACCATGAAAAGACACAGAGAAAACTTAAATGTGTATTACTAAGTGAAAGACGCCAGTCTGAAAAGACAAGGAGGAAGAATAGGTGGATTCCAGATGATTTTCAGGGCAGTGACACGACACTGTACGCTACTGTAATGGCAGATACACGCCATCGCACCTATGTCCAGACTTAGAAAATGTACAACACTAACAGTGGAGCCCCAATGTAAGCTATGTACTTGGTGATGAGGAGGTGCTAGCGTGAGTTCATCAATTACGACTAGTGAAGGATGTCCATAACCAGGGAGGTTATCATGCTCGTGCCGTTGTGGGGGGCAAAGATTATATGGGAGATCTCTGTGCTTTCTGCTCAAATTTCCTATTAACATCAAATTGCCCTTGAGAAAAAAAAGAGAGACTGGGAAAATAATCTGTAACTGAATTCTTTCTTTCTCCTATTCGTTTCTTCCCAAGATGGTTGCCAGCTAGACAGAAGAGAATGTAGAGCTGGAGATGCAGCTCCCCTCAACTTAACCATTCTAAAAACAAGTTCTAGAATAGAATTCCAATAGAATTCTGTGATCACAGTTCTTTCTAGGCCTGTGTGTCCAATATAGGAGCTACGAGTCACATGTGCTTTTAAGCACTGAGCTTTGAAATCTAGGTAGTGCAACTAAAAAACTAAATTTTTAACTTTTTAACTTAATTTCTAATTAACTTAAATAGCTGTATGCATATACCTAGTAATTACCGTATTGGACACTGCAATTCTAGAAGAACCTCTATGTTCCTAGAAATGTTCTCAGACATATAATTGGAGATAATTGGAGAATAATTGGAGAGTTACACGTCAAAATGTTAAAAGTTAAGACAGATAACCCAATCCCAATAAAGAAACAGACAAGACTTGATCAGACACCCCAGCAGAGATATCCAAATGACCAACTAATATAAAAAGGTTCTCAACTACATTCATTATTATCAGGGAGATGCAAATTAAAACCACAATGGGACACCACTACCCAGCCACCAAAATGGCTGAAATAAAACCTTTTGCTCAATGCAAAAGAAGAATGAGAAATCAGGAGGAAAACCAGGAAGGATGATTTAAGAGACCAGGACTTTTCTGAACACATGCATCTGGAGACTGTGCATGCTTGGCATGGTAACTACACACAACTGCTTGTGTAGCACACCCGTGCTAGGTCAGGACACCTGTGCTAGGTACTGTGACACTGGGAACTAGCTGTTCAAAAGTGCCTGGCACAGATCCCTCGCATCATGGACGAATTATCCAACTTTCTAGTTAAAGGTGAACCACCTATGGGATAATGTCACCATCAAATAAATGCCTGGGTCGGGCCTCGTTCAGCAACCACCTCAATTACCTTAGGAGACTGTTTGTGATTCAAGGACTCTTAGGGAAACCAAAGGATGAAATCTAACCTCAGTCCCTCTGTTTGCAAGGTAACTGGCAAAACTGAGCTCCTAACCCTTTAAACAACAAAAGAAGAAAAACAAGTTTTCAAGTCAGACAAACTTCACTTTGGGCCTGAGATCGTCTCTCTATCAGATCTCTTTTATTAAATGTGTATGTTCAACTCTCATAGTCAGTTTCTTATCTACAAACCGAGAAGTAACAATCACCCATATGGAAGAGTTATAAATTATAAAGCACATAATTGTACTGTGCCAGACACGTGGTAAGCACTGGCACACCTAAGATCAATGCAAATACGATGACCTCACTGTGCTTACAAACCACAGACTTACCTAAAATCATAGAAGTCTGCAAATTCCAAAGCAGCATTGCCATCTGTGAAGAGCTTACAGTGGCTTTTGTCATTCATGTGTGCCTGTACAGCTTCCGTGGAGTAGAAGGATTTCCCCTTCTCATTGCACCACAAGCAAATCTTCCCAACACCAACTTTCTCTCCTGGAAAAATAATTTGAAGACAAAACATAAGAGGAGCTTTCCGCCGCCAGGTTAAAGCTCACAATTTATCTCCACGATTCAAAAAAACATGCATCATTTTTTATCTTTACGAAATAAGCAGATAATTCAATAAAAGACTGACGAGAAACAAAAAATGAATGTTCCCTTAAAATCTGTCCCCCAATAATGTGGTATTTCCTCATTAAAAGGAAAATTATTGTACTCACCCAGATACTTAATCAGTCCCTTAAGATCTGAAAGATACTCTATATCGGGAATAAAGAAGCTGTGGACTTTAGTCATATGAGCCACATTCTTCATCAGAGAGCTTGAGTGATGGGGACAAAATAAGCAGTCTGTTATGGGGATGGCACCAATGAGGGGGCCTCCCGCAGCCTCCTCCTCCTCTACGTCCTGCTCCTCCACGTCATCCATGGCGTCAGCATCCTCACATTCCAACTCCTCATCAGAATCAATATCTTCCCAATCTTCAAGCCAGAGATTTTAAAAAAAAAAAAAAAAACAGTTTAAGAAAGTGGTAACTACAATCGAAGAAACCATAATGATTCATAAATAGGAGATGGTACAGTCTTACATCTGGGGAGACAGAGTGCTAATTACATCCAAGGACAGACCCTCTTTTAAGATCTCAATTTTAGCTGGTCCCTTCACACAGACGAGCTTGTACCGCTAAAGACTCCTTAATCTTTCTTTTCCAGCATACTGGAGTCTGTACTTCCTTCCTAAGCCTATAGGAACACATACAATCCATATTAATGGGATGTGGGATGAGACCAGGAGGGAATAAATAGCTCATAAAAAAGAGGAGGCTTGGTTGCTGGCTCCACCTCCACATTTCAGGTTAGCTAGTTGATTCTGAAGCCCCCGTTTTGTTGTTTTAAGCAACTAAATTAGACGCAGAGCCATCCTACCTAGAAACCCAGCAGAATCCCAAGTCCTACATTCGTTGGTGCAGGCGGTATCATGCCCTCCTATGCGAACAGCAAATGCCTCCTCACTCAATACAGAAGTCATCAACAACACCCAAAGCATCCAATCAAGAAACAGGCAGAGGACATGAACAGACACCTCTTCAAAGACACAGACGTGGCCAACAGACACGTGAAAAAACGCTCCACATCCCTCGGTACCAGGGAAATACAAATCAGCACCACAAGGAGATCCCACCAGTCAGAACGGCTAAAATTAACAAGTCAGGAAATGACAGATGTTGGTGAGCATGTGTAGAAAGGGGAAACCCCTTAACACACCGTTGATGGGAATGTGAACTGGTGCAGCCACTGAGGAAAACCGTGAAGGCTCCTCAAAAAGTTGAAAATGGAGCTACCCGATGACCCAGCAATTGCTCTACTAGGTATTTACCCCAAAGATACACATGCAGTGGTCCAAAGGGGCACCTGCTCCCCAATGTTCACAGCAGCAATGTCCACAACAGCCAAACTAGGGAAAAGAACCTGGAAGCCCAGCGACAGATGATGTGGTCTCTCTATATATACAATGGGCTATTCAGCCGCCCCCAAAAAACAAAAACAAACAAAAAAAAACCACACAAAAACACACAAACCCCACAGAGGGACGCCTGGAGGGCTCAGCAGTGGAGCATGTGCCTTTGGCTCAGGGCATGACCCCGGGGTCCCGGGATCGAGTCCCTGCAGGGGGCCAGCTTCTCCCTCTGCCTGTGTCTCTGCTGCTCTCGGTCTCTCTCATGAATAAATAACATCTTTAAAAGCAGAAGGTATCATGCATCATATGACCTCACTCGCGTGGGATTTAATAAACAAAGCAGAAGTTCCCAGAGGAAGAAATAAAACAAGATGAAATCAGAGAGGGAGACAAACCCTAAGAGACCCTGATCATGGGACACGAACTGAGGGCCCCCTGGAGGGTGGGGGACGGGGTACCTGGGCGAAGCGACGGGCCCTGAATCACTGACCTCCACCTCTGAAACCAGCAATACCTTATAGGTCAACTGGACTTAAACATTAAAAAGAAGAAAAAGAAAAAGAAAGCAGCAGCAGCCCCAACTAACTATTCGCAGTCATGACCTATCGACCTCTCCATGGACCGCCCGCAAAGCATAAACTCCCGCACGGACATCCGGGATCGGCGCTGACAACGACGGCAAAACGGTGAATCATCAAATCAAACGCGGGCGACAGGCGCCGTGGAGCCGCCCGGGGCCCGAGTGCGCGACAGGCAAGCGGCGGACACAGGGCGCGCCGGCCTCGGGAGGGCATTACCGTCGTCGTCCTCCTGCAGGGGCCCCTCCAGGTGCTCCTCCGGGTGCCCCTCCGCCGGCCGCCGCCCCGCCAGCCTCCTCGCCCGCTGCTCGAACCACTGGAGGCGCGGGGGCCTGTCGGGGGCCGCGGGCGCGGGGCTCCGGGGCCGCTGCGCGGGCGCCGCGGGGGCCTTGGCGGGGGGCGCGGCCGGCCGGGCCTTGATGGCCTGCTGGATGGCCGCGTTCAGGGCGTCCTTGTCCACGCCGTCCGCGCCCAGCCCCTTCTCCAGGTTCTTGGCGTTCCTCAGCTGCACCTGCCGGCTCACGGCGCGCACCGCCGCCCTCTCCAGCTCCGCGTGCCGCCGCGACTGCAGGTGGTTCTCGTAGGCGTTGAAGGACGCGAACCTCTTGCCGCACACGGCGCAGTAGGTGGCCGCGCCCTTGCTCTCCGGCTCCGCCACGGCCCGCTGCGCCCGCACGCGCTCCTGGAAGCCCTCGGCGCTCACCGGGCCCATGGCCGCCACCTTGCGCTTCAGGTTGTAGCGGTGCCAGTCGCTCTTGTAGTGCGCCCGCTGCACCTCCGCGTCGCCGAACGCCACCCGGCAGGTGATGCAGGTGTAGGTCGCCATCGCCGGGGCCCACGAACCAGCCCACCCAGGCGAGCCCGCCGACCCCAGGACGCGCAGCCCCAGCCCCGCACGCGCCGGCCGCGCTCTGCGACGACTTCCGGCCCGCCAGGGAAGTTATGCCAGCCGGGCCGGAAGTCCCGCCTCCGAGCCGCAGCCGCGCCGGAAGTCGAGGGCAGGCCCGGGACTGGCCTGGCCCCGCCCCCTCGGCCTGAAGCGGGTGTAGGTTAAGGCGGCACGGGGAGGGCGCTGCAAGGGTCGGCCTGACGGCGGCGCGGACGGGGCCACACCCCGACGTGGATGTTGATTGGGCCAGCCCGAGGTGGGCGGGATCGCCCGAGGTGGGTGGGGATTGGGCCAGCTGGGCCAGCCCGAGGTGGGCGGGGACTGAGCCTGAGGTGGGCGGGGACTGGGCCAGCCCGAGGTGGGCGGGGATTGGGCCAGCCCTAGGTGGGCGGGGATTGGGCCAGCCCGAGGTGGGCGGGATCGGGCCAGCCCGAGGTGGGCGGGATCGGGCCAGCCCGAGGTGGGCGGGGATTGGGCCAGCTGGGCCAGCCCGAGGTGGGCGGGGACTGAGGCCGAGGGGGGCGGGGACTGGGCCGAGGGGGGCGGGGACTGAGCCCGAGGGGGGCGGGGACTGGGCCGAGGGGGCGGGGACTAGGTCCGCGGGGCTCTGCCCCGCGCATCGCCCACCCGGTCGCTCTCCCGGGGGCGCGGAGGACGGAGCCGGTGCCCACACGTCCGGGAAGGGAGACCCGGGCCGGAGGCTGCGGGAATTCGCAGGGACGCGGGGGGCCGGGGCAGCCTCCCCGCGAGGGGCGCGCGCCAGACGCTGGGACGGAGGAGTTCGGCCGCCCCGGCGCTGCGCCCCCGCCCCCGCCCCCGCCCGCCCGGGCACCCCGCTTCCAGGGGTGCGGACACGCGGCTGAGACGGGCGCGGGCAGGGCGGGGCGGCGATCAGCCCGACGCTGCGCTCGCTCGCGGGGGCCGGGGGGCGGCGGCACCGGGGGGGCGTGGCCCCCGACTGCAGCCCCGCCCCTTTAGTTCAGGACCCGAACCTACTGAGCCACCCCGGCGCCCCCCCCACCCCGGACCCAGGCGCCCCCGCAGCCGGCCACCGCCCCGCCACGCGCCCCCGCACCCAGGCGCCCCATCACCCCCAAGCCAGGCGATCCCCCACCCAGGCACCCCATCACCCAGGTTCCCCATCACCCAGGCATCCCCCAAGCCAGGCGATCCCCTACCCAGGCGCCCCATCACCGAGGCGCCCCATCACCTAGGCACCCCCAAAGCCAGGCACCCCCCCAGTCAGGTGCCCCATCACCCAGGCACCCCATCACCCAAGCACCCCCCACCCAGGTGCCCCATCACCCAGGCACCCCCCAAGCCAGGCGATCCCCCACCCAGGCGCTCCATGACCGAGGCGCCCCATCACCTAGGCACCCCCAAAGCCAGGCACCCCCCAGTCAGGTGCTCCATCACCCAGGCACCCCACCACCCAAGCACCCCCCACCCAGGCACCCCATCACCCAGGCGCCCCATCACCTAGGCACCCCCGAAGCAGGCGCCCCCCAGTCAGGTGCCCCATCACCCAGGCACCCCATCACCCAGGCCCCCCTGACCCAGGTGCCCCATCACCCAGGTGTCCCTCAGCCAGGCCCCCCCAAGCACCCCAACTGATTTCACCGCGTACCCCTTGGAGTGCTGGATCTCAGGGAAGCCGCCGTCCTGGCCCCCCAGACCATCTCCTTTCTACCGCCAGGCTGGACACCCCATCACCCAGGTGCCCCCGATGCTGGCGCCCGGACTGTTCAGTATTTGAAACGAACCTCTTACCGCGGAAGTTATCCGATGGGGATTTTTATTCCAGAAAACTTGGTTTTGAGATCATCAAAACCTTTTCAAGTTGCTCAGCCGCCCGGAGAAGAGGCCACCATGTACCTGCGACTAGCCATGGACGGGGAGAAACCAAACTGCTGTGTATTTTCATGCTTTTCTAAAAGGTAAAGCCAAAGATGGCTGTGTAAGGAGATTTTGGTTTCTTTTACTTTTTTCTTATTCTCTCTCCTGTGGTTCTTCCAGCATCTCGTCATTCTTCGTGTGTCATTTCCTTCCTGCCTCCTTCAGTCCGTGTTCACGAGCCCCCACTCCAGTGTCTGAACCCCTGGGAGTTCCACACCCTTTCCTTTCCCTCCTGCGGGGACCCCGAGGTCTGCACACCCCAGGGCCCCGCTCGCCCCCACCCCCGGGGCCTCCTCTTCCCTAAGCCCTTCTTCCTCACAGGTCACTCTTCCCGATGGATCGGGGATGGCTGCCTGATGCCCACAGAATGCAGCTGCGGCTCCTTTGCCTTCCAGTAGCTCCGGTTCCCTGCCCCCGTGTGACCAGTCTCCGGGGGGTGTTCCTGCCACACCCCAGCAGCTGACACCTGCCGAGTCCTGCACGACAGCCCGACTCTGACACCGGCGACCCGGCGACAGCATCAGCTCCCCAGGTTGAGGACTCCCCACTCCCCACAGGACTGCGCCCACGTGGACCCCGGGAGCAGGTCCAGGGCCACCCGTGCAGACCCACGGCCTCGAAGCCGCCCGCCCTCTGCAGTCTGACTGATTCGCAGAGTGGCTCACGAAACTCAGGAAACCCGGTGACTTACTGGTTTATTAGAAAGGACATGAAAAGATACAGATGAACAGCCAGAGATGAAGACACACACAGGGTGAGGTCCAGAAGGGTCCTAAATACAGGAGCTTCTGTCCCCGTGGAGCCTGGGTGCAGTCACCCACCTGGCACATGGATTTGTTCCGCTTCACTAACCGAAAAGCTCTGACCCCCCCCCCCCCCCCCCGTTGTGGGGTTTTATGGAGGTTTCCTTAGTAGGCCTGACTGATTAAATCTTTGGTGATTGAACTCAGCCTCCAGCTACTTTCTCCTCCCCACAGGTCGGTTCCCCTGGCAACCAGCTCTCATCCTTAGGCCATCTAAGGGGCTTTCCAAAAGTCATAATCAAAAACATAGTCATTCCTTTAAAATACTCTTCTAATTCTAAATTAAGGAATCTTTACCCTCAAGGAGTTTCTTACAATTTGATAGGGATGATGATAAATACACAATGAACACATTAAAGACTGGGCCACTTACAACAAAACATAAAGGGGCAATGGGATTTAGGATAGAAAAATCTCATCCGACTAGAGACCAGAAAAGTTTTCATTAAGAAGCTGACATTTCAGATGGGTCCCGAAGGAGCGGGGAAACTGAAGACTTCATCTGCAAGTGGAGCAGGGAGGTGGAAAGTAGAAGAAATACTGTGAAGGGGCCAAACTAAGGGACATATTTAGGAAGAATGTTAGTCTAGTTTGCATCGAAGCATAGGATACAGGTAAAGATGAGGAAATAGGATTAGAGAGGATTAAGGTATCGTATTGGGTAGAGGACTGAATTCCATACTTTGTTGTTCATTCTTCATTTGCTAAAACAGTAGGCACTCAAAAAAAATGTTGCAGTTTACATGGGCATCAGGAACAGAAGTGGTCCTTGAGATCCAACAGCAGTACCTGGAATGGACTGGAAAAATACTTGAAAGGAGCGGGTCTGTAGCCAACAGCTCCTCGGTAAACGCAAGATGATTGGCCAAGGGACCTTGTGTTGAACTTCTCTGCCATATACTCAGAATATTATGTTAATGTGTCTAATTCCTGTTGACCGTACTATGAAAAAGGTTTCTTACCTAATTAATCGTTTTACTGAAGAATTTAAACTGAGACTGCCCATGTAAAAAATTTAGATTTGAAAATCTTAAAAATTAAAATTCTTTCTGGACACTGTGACACAGCCCTCAAGATCATTTAATTGCCAAACTAGTGAAGTTATGCTACACACCGTAAAAGTGACAGTATCAATGACGATGTGGTTCCTTTTCAATCCTGACAGATGTTGGGACATTGATTTTTGATAATTACAAAATTTAAAATAAGAGGAAATAAATTCACCTGCAAGTCAGCTGAGATACTAACATTGATATGTAGTGTTCTCTTGTGACAGGCTTACTACTTTCCACATACCTATATTGCAGTAGCAACTTGGTTTTTAAAAGGAAAACCTTAAAAGGGTTGGATGGGATTACTTTTGGGGGATAACAAAGAATATAAAAAACTAACATTTAGTAAATGGTTTACAAGTTCTGTGAATTTGGTGTTCATTAAAAAATGTTAAGTAGAGAATTTTTATTTTCAATAGACAACTTTAATACGTTTTACTACCTCTTGGTTTTTGGGTGTCTAGATATGCAGAGTTTTCTGTTCTTAAATTAACAAAGAAGTGAGAATACCTGGTTATCATAGCATTTACAATAGTATAGATCAGCTGATTTCTGGATTCTTTGAAAAAAAAACCTAAAAATTCAGTCATTAATATTTAGTAAACTTCTGAACTATTTAAAATTATGATCATTCTTAATGTATCTAAAAAACAAAAAATTAGATAACATAATATACTAGAAAGAGAATACGCTCTGGGGACAAACTGGCTTTCCCCCTTACTAGCTATGTGACTTTGGAAATGAAAATTGATTTAACCCTGTCCTTCTGATAAATGCTCTTACTACTGCTTAATTGTAGAGTCATCAGGATTACACGTGATTGTAACTGTAACTGAGTATTTTCTATGTATTGGACGAACAGTTGGCAAACTTTTCCTATAGAGGGTATGATAGTAAATGTTTTGGCTTTGTTAGGCCTATGGTCCCTGCCACAATTATTCAACTTTTTTCTTTATATAAAAAGAGAAAATATAAAAGCAGCCATAGACAGTACATAAATGAGTGTGTCTATGTTCCAAAAAAACTTTATTTATGGATGAATTTTTAATTTCATATATTTTACACAAGTCATGAACTCTTCTGATTTTTTTCAACTATTTAAAAACCTTTAAAAAATCATTCTTAGCTGCTATTCCATATAAAAACAGCCGCAGACCAGATTTGGCCCATAAGCCATAGTTTGCCAAAGCCAGTCTTAGACACTGAATTACACACTATGGGATGCAGATGCTATAACTTAATTTTATAGATGAAGGAAACAGGTATAGATCTAATGTGAATGACTTGGAGCCTCCCAGCCAGTGTTAGATCCATTAAAAATGGCTAGTTTAGAACCTCACACGTGGTCCAGAGTCAACTGAAAAAATAGACATTTTTGCAACACTTTTCATCTTTTTTATTCCACAGCATTTCCGGGATTATGAGGCCAATATACTGCTACTCCTACTGAAAGAACTTTAGAGTTTTCTTATAAGCAGGTACTTGTTGATTGACTTTGTTTTAATGTTTGAAAAGGTGGTTTAGTTGAAACACAGGTAGGAAAAAAAAAAATCACTCTCTCGGTTATATATAGCCTCCCCCCGCCCCCCGCCCCGAAAGTGCTTCAGATACTTTTTTCCATTCATTCTAAAAAGATTCTTGTGTAAGAGAATAATTAGCTTCCTAATTTTTTGTTTGGGGAACCCGAAGTGGTAGTTTGAGGACGTTATGTGGCTTTCACATTGTATCTTAAGGGGTCATAATATTAACATTAGAACTAGAACTGGTATTTATGACATCCCATACTAACTTAACTGCTGCAGTGGAAATGGAGGGATAATACACAAAAATATATTTCTGAGGCTTTCTACCTTTATCATGATACAAATGACCTATGACAACTACAGTTTAATAAGGGTTTTCAGAATAATTTCCTATCTTGTAACTAATATAACTGAAGCAGTGTATAAAGAACTACATCAACCTAAATTATAAACAGAAAGGAAAATGTTTAAGTCACTTTTTTCTTAAATGTAGATTTGCTTCTTGCCTAAAATCAGCAGTATACTAGCATTTGCTATTTTTTAAAAGCTGAAGAGTTGCACTTATTTCAAAGACAGGAGTGAGACGCTTAAATGTGTTGAGGACGTTTGCCAATTACAATTATAAATATTTCTTTTCCTAATATTCTATTACATGGGGGGAGCGGTTTAAAAATCACTTCTGAGAATTTTTAGAGTAAGGGAAAAGCAATGATGATTCAAAATGAGAATATAAACAGGGCTGTAAGCCTGGATTGACTTTCCAAAGCAAGCTTGAACTTCTTGAGCTCTGCTTCATTGTTTCAGGTCAAAATGCATAATCAATGTATGCTATTTCCATCGTCTCATTTTGCTCAGCATTCTTTTGCAAAGCATTTTTTCTACAACTCCTTTGCAATTAAAAAGAATCCATGTTTCACACTTTAATGAATGCATAAATTCTCACAGTAAGGGGTAAGTAGTCCCCACTGGGACTGGATCACTTATCGGGGTTTACTGTTACTATACCTTAAAATCAGAAATAGGATTATATACAGTACATCCACCAACACATTCACACACACACACACACACACACAACCCCACAGCACCCCTCTTTGTCTGAATTAGGAGTACTGTTACTGCACTGGGTACATCTGTAATGACATATGTTCTGGAATAAATATTGAAGTACATGTCTGGTTATGATGCTACTACCCATAGCAAGTTGGTATGTCTCCTCCAGAGTGTTAATAACACAATTTCCTACCCTAACAACCTCGCCATCCCCAAACCACTTTTAATTTATAGTTCATAATATTTGACCCTAGTTTTATTGTTTGTAACACCAACTCTAGAGTTTATCTTTCTGTAAGCTTGTCTATGACTCTTAACACATTCTTTAGTTACATGGGTCACCTTCTTTTTTTCCCCTCCATGAAGAAATTGAAACGACTGAAAACTTTTTGACTTCATGGCCAAGAACATTTTTTAAATACAGAAACATACACATAAAAAAAAAAAAAAAGAATCCTGGTGACAACTATTTTATAAATATGTGACTGTATTGTTCTTTATGTCCAGAAACTCGTATTGAATAGAATTCAGGTATATTCCTCCCTAACCCACACAGTTCATAGATCTAACACCAGGTTTTTGTACCAAAATGGGCAAGATAATGAAGGCACAGGCTCACTTTGTATCAGTAAAGGACATCAAACACAGTCATGAGGCACTAATGACATATAAGCGTAGTCAGTCACAAAAAGCATGTGTTGAAAGTCCTCAATAACTTATCTCCCTTTACATTTGGCAAAATTCAGTCTAGATATTTTAATACCTCAGAAAAAATAAATAAGAGATGCTACACTAAAACATCAGATTACCTATCGTCTTTAGGAATAGAAGGAAAGGGATAAAATGAAGGGAAGGGACAACAGCTTTCCTATATTCTTGGATTATCTTTCCTTTCTCAGGGTCTCAGACGTCTGTATGCATCTGTAGAAATGCCAGCTGTACCTGAAGATTGAAGGGATTGTTGGTAGTTGGCTGGCATGGTCCCTCGACACTATTAAAAGTTTACATCACAAAAGCAAACTTAGCTTGATTTCTGCGAAATCCTTTGTTAAAAGCCTATATCAATTTGGTTATTTGAAGGTGATCTAAAAAGTTTAAATAAAGGAAAAATATATTCTAGCTTCCCAGTAGAAACAGGTTCTATTTTTAGACTTTAGCAGCAAGTAAAGACACCTTAGAGCCAAGCAAATTTCCCTCCCGCAGGAGACGCGCTACAGACTACGGAAGCAGTCACTGTTTCTCTACTGCCGATGACAACATCACTCACAGAACGTACCAGGCACGCGTTTCACAACTTGAAGAGACTTTGTCCATGACGTAATAGGAGAGATGACGATTTAACTTGGGTCTGAGCAAGCAGAACAGACCTGCACTTGACAACATCTCTGACAAGTACCTGACGGCCCAGCAACCAAATGCAGCCCAGTCTGTGTTTCCATCAAAACCCCTGTCTGTGCGATACACCATTACTTGCCTTCCAGGGGTCACACCACCGAGGGCAAGGCCAGAGCTGCCGTCCACGGAGCATGCCACTTACACAGGTAGGCCTAAGTCTATGACTGCAGAAACGACGTGGAAATGTATCAGCCTATCCAAAGTATTTAAATATATTTTTTAAATTATCCCTAGGAAATTAATTTTGATGATATTTCCCAAGTCCTTCGATTAAAGATACCGTGATAATTTTTGTTTTTTTTTACATCAGAGTCTACCAGAATTTTTTAACTGTTTCCAAGTATCAGTAACAAAGGAGATGATACTGCTTCGTATTCACAACTAATGGTTAATATTTCAGTGAGTTACAATAAACTGTTTGCATGCTTGAAAAATTAATTGTAAAGAAAAAATAAGGAGTACTTATAAGAGGATCCCAATAATTTGGTGTTTTTGCTTTAAAAACAACCTCTAATATTCATGTCTGACACCACAGTATGTATATATATATGTATATAAAGTTCATTTCCATGCTTATTACATAAAAATAACTATAGGAAATATCAGTATCAGCTGATATATATCCAACCAATTCACTGCAGAAGGAAAAATAAGAAAAAAATCTGAAGTAATCAGTAAAGCTCACAGTTCAAAAAAATTTTTTTTTCCTTTTTTTTCCTTTTTTTTTTTTTTTTTTTTTTGCTTGTTTCAAATTTTTTGGTAGTTTTCTCTGTGCTGTGTTGAACAAGTTGATTCCCAGACTAATGGCCTCCGAGTAGATTTGAAAGGAAGCCCGAAGACTTCTTATTTTGCTGTGCTTCTGCTTCTTGGTCTTGTGAGAGTCCCAACTCACTCTCAATTTGATCAAGCTCTGACTGGTCAAGTAGTTCAAAGTCATCACCTTCTTCAGTGTCTGTGTCGTCTCCTGGGCTGGGGGCAGCCTGAGAGAGTGCTTGCTGCACGCCCTCTAACTGCTCCTTGATGGCAGCTGTCACTGCGGCCGTGATGGCGTCCCCAGCCAGGTTGCGCATCAGGTGAAAGGTTTGGTCACTGCTCAGAGGAAGGCTGAGACCAGCCGCCGACTGCCTCTCTCTGCTCGTTCTCACACCGCTGTCCAGCTGCTCCTTTCTTCTCCTTTGCTCAGTGGGCAAGCCAAGGCTGAATTCATCTTCATCATTTGTTCCCATGCCATTTTCTACGGATGGAAAATCGGAAAGGTCTCGAGAGAAAACTTCTTCGCTGGGTCGATCAAGATCTGTGGAATGTATCACACAAGTTCACGCTTGAGCACCATGATGGATTGGAAACAAAAGAACTGTCTGAAAGGAACTCTGATTGTAACCGGAACCCTCTAGGCGGCCTTGGCGGCCACAGGCTGGACCCCTTTCGAATGCAGGACACCGGCTCTCTACAAGGACACCAGGACCGCACGTCCCCGCTACGGCTTTAGTTTTCCTCTTAAGCACAAAACCGGGTATGTGATGACTTAACATCCAACCCGTCTAACGTTAGCTTGAGGCTTGACTGAAGTTTTTCTAAGTTTGTATTTGTTTAATTCCAGTGAGTTAACAGAGTGTTAGCTTCAGGTGTCCACCCTAGTGATTCAGCGCTTGCATACAACACCCCGAGCTCATCGCACGTGCCCTCCTTCACCCCGTCGCCTAGTTCACCCAGCCCCACCACCTCCCCTCTGGAAACCGTGCGTCTATTCTCTGTTCAAGAGTCTGTTTCTTGGTCTCCCTCTCTCTTTCTTCCCCTTTGCTCATTTGTTTTGCTTCATATATATATATATAGACCTATATATAATAGGTTTAAATGTTCATTGTAAACAAAACTTTCATCCTGGCCCAGGGAGGGTATCAGCTGGAAGCCAGTGTGGATATGTATGATCACAAAGTTTAAAAATATTTCAGTTGGAGGTTTTCATGGGTTCTGGTGTAACAAACGGTATTATCCTGCCTCAGCATTTTCCTCCATGGAGAGCAATGTCTTAGCATCTGTAACCTATGTTTGTCTAATGCAAGGAATTAAAAGAAAATATTCACTGAGGGGGGCACTTGATGGGATAAGCACTGGGTGTTATTCTATATGTTGGCAAATTGAACACCAATAAAAAATAAATTCATAAAAAAATGTTAGAAACTACCACTGTTCTGTAAAAAACATAACTTGTTTTAGATATGTTTTGCACGTGCATAAAATGCTTTGCCTGTCAAAAAATAAAAAGAAAGAAAATATTGCTCCTTCTGTTCCATATTCAACTTAAGAGCTCATAGGAGCACTTGGCTTCCTATAAATATCGCTGAAAATAACTATGCCCCGTTTACCAGATTTGTGTCCAGAATACATACAGGAACACTTTAAGATTTGGGACATTTGAAGGCAATGACAGGTTAGCAGGCAGACTGATTTCATTGTTATTCACTTTCCATAGAAAATCTTTCAGTACAACAGTTAACTCTTGAAAACAGTGACTTGAACTCTTCAATTTAATTAATACTTTCTATGTGGGTTGGATTATTGATGCCCCTTTTGTTGTCTAAGTCTGAGATAGGATGCTTACGAACAAAGGGTTTATTATCCTTATCTTGATAATGTAGGGCTTGTGCAGTTTGAGTGCTTTTTTTTTAAAGTAGGCTCTAAGCCCAATGTGGGGCTTGAACTCACAACCCCATGATCAGGAGTCACATGCTCTGCCAACTGAGCCACTAGAGGTTGCTCCGTGAATGTTCTAATACATTTTAAAGGTGAGGACACAGGTCCACAGAAATTATGTCACCTGTTCAAGGCCATACAATTAGCTAAGGACAAAAGCAAGACTACACCTGGGTGTCCCAATCTCCAAGCCTGTTTTATTTCAAACATTGTACAGCCTCCCTCCTTCCTCTAGAAGAACGTATGTTCTTGCTTGTAAAAACACACATAAAACAATTCATAATCTTCCATTATAAGCTCATATTTTCAGTATATGGCTAAAATGACATGAAATAATCCAATGAGACTAGCAAAAGTTGTTACTACACAAGGTTGCTATTTAAAATTATGTTTATCCCAATTATTAAAAAAATAAAGCTTTTTTAAAAGCCAACTTTGAAGAAAAACATGAGTGGAGTTAGCTTTGGATTAGGGGGAACCTGTCCTCCACACTTCAATCCTCTTTAACGAGGACTAGCCCTGGATATATGGGATGAGTGTCTCTCTTTCCCCCACCTCGTCCATCGTTGCCATGAACAACAGACATTTGCCACCAGACACTTCAGAAATTGTTTTCACTGTCAGCTACTTATTTGTTTTCCAAGTAAAGGCAGATTTGGATATGGACTGCCTTACATCTTTTTCTCATACTTTTAAAAAAAGTAATAGCCTTTCAGATATGATTCATCTACCATAAAATTTGCCCTTTATAATTCAGTGGTTTTTAATATATTTACTATATTCACAAAGCTTTGGGGCAACCATCGCCACTACCTAATTCCAGAACATTCTCATCACTACAAAAAACCCAGGCTAATTACCACTCACCATTCGTCTTCCCCCAAGCCCCTAGCAGCCACTAACCTACCCTCCGTCCCACGTGGATCTGCCTATTCCACGTGTTCATATAAATGGACTTATACGGTATGTGGGCTTGTGTTTGGCTTCCTTCACTTAGCACAGTGTTTTCAAGGTTCATCCGGGTCATGGCATGTATCAGTACTTTGTTTTTAGAGCCAAGTGGTATTCCGCGGCATGGATACACCAGATTTTGTTGCTCCATTCAGCAGCTGACGTGTACTCCTAAGAACACAAATAAGAGTAAGTGGGAAGGTGAGCGTACCGTCAGAAGTGTCTGTCTGTGGAGTGTATCCTTCTGAAAGGTTGAAGGTCCCATTGTCAGTCCAGGAGACCTCGGATACGTCTGTGTCCGACACAGACAGCTCTTTGGCAGCAACCGTGAGGCTGATCTGTGGTGAGACAGAGAGAGCAGAGGCACATTTGAAACTTCTAACAGAAATCCTTTGTCCTTTGCAGGCTCCATACAAATGCCCCAAAACTGTTTTTTTTTTTTTTTTTGAAACTATTCAATCACCTTCAAGAAGCAGGAGGAGTCCATTAGGAAAAATCACTCAGCTTTAGGACATGTAAGTAAGTTTATAGTCAAACCACACAGGAACGAATTGAAAACGAAACAAAAAATACCTTAGGACAAAGAGCTGAAAGGTCTAATTCGCTGTCATCTTTGTGACTTTTTTCTTTATCTGCTTCTGTTGAGAAAAAAATGTAGAGGCTTTCAGTTTCCTGGCCAGCTTAGACACAGTGTGTTTTATCCATTATACTGTGATGTCCTGACCCCACATTCCTCACACTGTCCAGTGCTTCCATTTAACTAAATGCCACACGTATCTGCAAACGTTTGATTTCCAAGGGAAATGGTCCATATCACTGATTCTAGTAGCATGGGCCCGGAACCAGCAGCATCAGCACCGCTGATCGGAACTTTTTAGAAACGCAAATTCTCAGGTCCTACCCCCTACCCTACATCAACTGAATCAGAAACTCTGGGGCCCAGAATTCTATGCCTTAATAATCCCTCCAGGCCATTCTGATCTTGCTATAGTGTGAGAATCTATAAGGTCATAGGCCAAGTTAAATACTGAAAAATGATCACTTTGGCTTGTCCTCTGTTTTCTTTTCCTCCCCGTTCTCTTAATCCCCTCTTATGTGGCTCCCACACTCTTAGCCTCGTGTTGTTTTTTTTTTTTTGCAATAGTCCACCCCAAAATAAAACAAGTGAGACAAAGAAAATCATAGATAGCAAGTATAAAGCTATTGAATCCTTTTCTCCTTCCCCCGACAATTTGGATTAAAAAGTCAATTTCTTATATGTTTGAGAAAAGCATAAAATCCTAAATAGGCAAAGGCTACATTACTTTCAGGGGATTAGTGTCTATATATGTAATAAAAGCCTAAAAGCACCTTGAGACATATTCAAGGTGATTTCATAATAAAGAGCCAGCTGACGTCTCCTTCCACGCGTGGCACTTAAAATTCAAACTTTACCTACCAGATCTCTTCCGTTTCTTCTGATTAATATATTCTCCAATTCCAAAGTCTAGCTTCAGCAGAACTGACTTGATTTTGCTGTATATTTTTTGTCCGATATCATTACACTTAAACAGTGGACACAAAAATGCACACAGCACTGCAAAAATAAGAAGGGAGGAGTGTGGGTAAGAGGACCTTCCTTTCAAAAGGCTGCCTCTGAGTATTTCACAAAAAATATTTCCGTTCCCTTACTGACAAATACAAGTTCTTTCTTAGAGAGGTGCCTCTGTGAAATAAGTCCCTAATTTCTATTCTTCCTCCCGTAGCTAGAGCACTGCTTCCAGTCATTGTTTTTAAAGACCTGCCACCAAATCGGCTTTCTCCCTTTCATTCTTTCCCGTCAACACTCACACAAAGATTTCACGCTTGCTTGACAACAGTCCTGGGTTAAAATCCGCACTCTACTTGTTTGTCGAATAAGCCACTTCACTAGAGGAAAGTTATTCTCTCTTAGCCTCTCACCAGGAATATTGGGATGATCCTATGATCTCCGGGGTTTCGTGAGGAGTGAATGAGGCGAATGCAAACCCTGTGAATAATGCCTGGCCTGTGCCGGCCTCTCCCCGGCTCTCTCCTCCTTTACTTCCCCAACAAGGCAGATCAAGGGCTGATACTCCACGTGGGTTCCACCCGGGAGAATGGATTTGCGCTTTGATCACCCGCCACGGGAGCCAGGCATCGGGAATAGTCGAGTGAAGACCGACAGAGCGAAAGCGCTGTATTCCCTACTGTTTACTCCTTTGCTGTCGGTAGGAACGGTGCCCGTTTGCTTTTTAAATAGGAGCTGCAAACTCAAATATCACTGGAAACCAAGGAAGAATAGGTACATTTTAAAAGCTGGTGTTCAGAAACACAGGGAAATGGGAGACTTAGTTGAGTCTCATCCCATCCTCAGGGTGGCAGCAGCAGACCAGCTTTTTCAGGAGAAGCTGGCCCGCTGTACTTTTTTGAATGGCACTTTGGAGCTGTATTTGACATACAATAAACTGCACACATTTAAAGTATTACAATTTCGTAAGTTTTGACATGCGCAAAGAGCTAAGAAACCATTACCACAATGAAGGTAGTGAACACAGCCCTCACCCCCGAGAGGCTCCCCATCTTCCCATTCATCTCTCTCTTGCCTTCCCCTGCCCCGACCCACCTCATCCCTAGGCAACCATGGGTGTGCTTTGCCATTGGTTCAAGAGGAGTCTGAATTATGTATAGATGGAATCATACGCTCTATACTCTTCTTTACTTGGCTTTTCCCACTCGATCTAATTATTTTGAGATTGATCCGGATTGTTGCATACGCCAATTCTTTAGTGCTGAGCAGTCACTGTATGGATGGATATACTAGAGTTTGTTTCCTGGTGCATTTATGGGCGCACATATGGATTGTGTTCTGGGTTTGGCTACTGCAGATAAAGGTGCTGTGAACATTTGCATGCAAGTGTTTGTGTAGATGGATACTTTCATTTCTCTTGGGTAAGTGAATACTAGCCATGGGATAGGCGGGTCATAGATCGTTTTTAAGAAACTGCCCAACTGTTATCCAAAGTGTTTACACCATTCTACCGACCTACCTACCAACGGTATGTGGGAATTTCCAGCTGCCCTGTATCCTTGCTAATACTTGATATGGTCCGTATTTCTTAATTTTAGCCATCCTGGTGGGAGTGTAGTGGTATCACATTCTAGTTTTAATTATTTTTTGAGCCACAGAACACACACGAGGGCAAAAGTATTAGAGTGTTTGTGGGGGTGGGAAGTATAGCTTTCTTATAGTTCTCCTGCCGTAATTTAAAATCAAATCAAAACACTTATAACCAACCCACCCTGCCCTTTGGCAGCTGTTCTTCCAACTTGAAAATATAAACATGTCTCTAGGAAAAGGAGAAACTTTGTACAGCAGGAAATTAAAGGATAACCAATGTGTTTTGTAACCAAGAACTCATCCCTCCTCTTCCAAACTACGGAAGGTCCTGTGGACCATTAAGCGATACCATATGCATCACATAAATTAGCCAAATGTTCTACTATACTTACACAGCAGATAGCTGAGTATAACTCCAGGAATGTAACTTCCCAAGATTGTAAAAAATGTGCACACACTGCAGACCAGGAGACAAAACTAGAAATAATAGGAACAACATGTGACAGTTACAACTCCAAGACATTTTTGAGCACAGGATACACAAGTTTTGTCTATATGTGATCTATCACATTACGGCAAATGTTTTTCAAACAGTGTTCTTTTGTACTTGGTCCTAATGGCTGCTGTGTTCAGCTGGCCTCGGCCCACTTTAACGCTTAATGAAAAATCATTTTAAGGTTCCAGAAGCTAATTTCTGGCACAGAGAACATCTCCCATTAATCATGCCTGTGGCTGTATGACTGCCAGATGCAAGAGAACTGAAGCGTCATATGTCCCCAGAAACTTCTTTTACTCAGGGTCAGTTGTTGAAAATAATGCAGCCTGGTAAATAACCTGCAAGTTCAAAGTACTTCTATAAACCCATCAAAATTCATAAACACAGCAAAGCAAAAATTTGAGGCATTTGTATGAATATAACAGCAATCTGCATAGCTGATAAGCTGCTAGGATGAATCCACTGGCCATTACGATCTTCCTTCCTAACCACATCCATCCCTCAAATTGACCCCACTTCTAGGTCACTTAGAAAGCAACTGGAAATGAAATGAAATTCCCAAAGTGAAATGTGCATATTTTCCTACTGCCAGTTGTGACCAAAAAAAAAAAAAAAAAAAAAAAAAATCTTGGTTGTTTCAACAAATTTAAACATCATGACAAAAAAATCTCCCATAAAGCCTTCACTTGTTTTCCACACCCCAGTCTTAAACGATCCTTCTTCTTTTGATTTATCTTTATTCGATGGTATTAAATCGGCAAGTAAAGAGAATTCTTTATTCCTTAAGGGAATTTCAAAAAGACATATGAAAAAAGAATATATAACTCTGATCAGTAACTGATTAACACCATCAGATTAACTTTGGTTTTCCATTCTTTGGCACAGGATTAATAAGTTAACTGATCAAAAGGAGAACAGATGAACTTACGGAACAAAGTTAAGAGCTGTTTCTGAAAAAGCAGAGGCCCTTGACACATATGCAATTCTAATAGCAAAATGGAAGAGGAAAGACCATAAGCATTGAAAGAATAAGTCTAGGAAAGCATTACAACGTCCAGAATTCAGTTTCACAAAGAGATTTCCATCCTATCCACTAAATTTGTGACATCATCACCTTAAGCCAGTCGGCCTGGAGTACATTAATGCAATCCAATGCAGAAGTTTTAAGTTCAGAATCTCCTAAAAATGTGTTTTGATCATTTCAGTAAAATAGGCATCAAAAATGCAACTCTCCCTCTCCACCATATGGATATCTAGTCTAAGAATCAACTTCAGTAATTTTTTTTAAAAATCCATACATATGCAACGTTGCCCCTTTAATAATGCTCAAAATGTGCCCAAGCATAGTTTTATTTTTCAATACCACTGAAGTTAAGAGACACATGTACATGGTACAACCAGAGGGATTTTAAATGCTGATATTCCTAGGCTCTTCCTTCCAACTGCAGGCGGAGGTTCAAGAATCTTGAACCCAATACTGGAAGGGGAAGCGTCCGTTGCTGGCTCTGCCCTTAAACCCATGTTCTCACGATCACAGCTGTAGCCGCCTCTGCACACCAAGTCCTCCAAGGGTGTGCACCGTGCAATCCCTCCCAAACCACATTTGATCCTTCTCCTCAGGGGTTTTCATTTTAACCGGGAAAACACTCGTTCCATATATATAAAGACTGTGAGCATCTTTGCCAAAGGTTTTCTTTCTTAAATAAATCATATAGGAATCTCTACTTTCTAGACTGAAAGACTCCATTATCTCCAAAGGCACCCTCAGAAGGACTCTGTCTCCTCTCCCTTCGACTGCAGAACCGGCCTAAATGATATAAACTGAAATTCTTTTTCTATTGGATTATAACTGACATACATTGTTATAGGAGTTTCAGGTGTACCCCACAGCAACCTGACATTTACACACATTATGGATGATGACAAATCTAGTTCCCATTGTCATCTCTGTACTTACTACGATACTATGGATGACATGCCCTAAGTTGGACCTTACGTCCCAATGACTTATTTATTTTTTTATACTGAAGTACAGTTGACCTATCACATGACTTTCAGGTGTACGGCATAACGGTGACTTCCATGACTGGAAGCTTGTACTTCTTAACCCCTGTTGCCAGTTTTGCCCATTGCTCTGCCCCTCTTCTCTCTGGCAACCACCAGTTTGTTCTCTACATTTACATGTCTGCTTTTAAACTGAAATTCTTAGTAATTTTTTCTCTTAGGTCTGGCTGATAAGACCAATCACCATTTTTGTTAATGAGTTAGATAAACGTGTATAAAACAGAAGACAATTTTAAAACAGAAGCTTGAGGATTTTCTAATGCTAACACACTCATATTTCTGAATTTTGCTAATATCAGCTTTTATGGCAAGTGTTCCTAGTATATTATATCTAGGATTGGAGAACCCTTATAAGCTGATAAACTAGGTTAACTCATTGGTTTCCAATTTATTGCACGTTCTAAAGCACACACGGTAATCCTCCCATGCTGGAAAACTTGCCTTGCCCGGGCTCTGCTGTTTAAAAAGAGACATTTCTTGAAGAAATATGCTGAAATTCATCCATGATTCTGCAATACAGTGGCTGAACCTGGGTCTTTCATCTGGTTTGGAATTGACAACTTCCCAGCTAAAGAGACAAAAAGAAAACAAGAAATTTTAGCTGCCTTTTGATGATTCATTCAACATTCGTTGTTTCAGCAAATATTTATTGAGCACCTGCTACTGGCCACGCTCTCTGGAAAAGCCCTGAGAATTGAACAAGCCAGGTATCTGCCCAATGAAGCTCATATGCCGAGAGAAGAGATTCAAGCTAAACAATTTCTTAAACAACTCCCCCATTACAACGAGGGTGAAGTATAGGGTGGGGGCTTTGAGAGATCTCTGAAGAAGCCCCTTTTATGATGAACCCTGGATTAGCAGCAGTCTATCACAGGGCTTGGAAGAGTTCCACATAGAACAATGTACAACATGGGCAGAGGGCTGGGGCCAGAAGGAGCTACCGGCGCTACTGAATCGAGCCCCACATGTGGCTCCACAGGGACAGAGTCGGCCAGAAGAGGAAGGCTGCATAAAGCCTGGAAGGTAGGATGGGACCTAATCATAGGGGCCTGGGGGCACTTGTTAGGAACGTTGGAAACCTCAAGGATCGGAAGCCACAGTGCTTTTAGAGGAATCTCGGCACTGATCTTCTAATCGTCATCATCATCAACAGCAATGCCTTCTCAATATACATTCCGGTCCATCAGCTCAGTAGAAAACTATTTGTTAAACTCAACAGGGTCTCAAAGTTCCTCGTATTTTTCTAATGGATCTTCTCCCAACCGTCATCATAGAATGCGCTGAATGTGATGCATGGGTCAGGCATGTGCTCTGGGCCCCTGCCCTCATTTTCCCACAGGAACCTCAGTAAGCTAAAACCAGTAACAGTCTCTCCAGGAAGAAGACATGCAGACACAGGGCATTCCCTAAAATCACCATCACAGCAAGTTCAGCCCACTCTTGCAATAAATACTAACTCATCACCAGAATATACCAGTTGAAACAAGCTCTGTCAAGGGCCCTCAAATCCATTCATTTCATAGATAAGTGGTATGTGGAAGGCACTGCCATAGAGCTAAGGATAAGGCAATAAATGAACGTTGCCAGCACAAGACAAAGATTATTAGTGAACTGTCAGCTCACATTAGTGAGCTGCAACTGCAAGGGAATCAGAGTGAGATGATCTCTGGATTCAAATCCAATAGTCCTAAGACAAATCACAGCTACCTTGACCCCTAGATGCTCAACTCCCCAGAGACTGTGTACACGTGGTTCTGATTTATTTTTTTAAGATTTAACTAAAACTTAAAATTGTATTTAAAAAGGAAATTTACTGAACTAATCTACAAATTTCAATTGATTTATTTGAGAGAGCGTGGGGGTGGGGAGAGAGAGAACGCAGGCCGACTCCACACTGAGCAGAGCGCCCGTCATGGGGCTCAATCCCATGACTCTAAGATCACAACACGGGCGGAACCAAGTCAGATGCTTAACTGACTCTGCCACCCAGGTGCCCCTATTTCTTTCTAATATACTTTGAACACTAAGGCAATTTGTAGATTAGATAATTAAATGTCCTTTTTAAATACAATTTTAAGTTGCATTTAAGTGAATCCAATAGCATTAAAAAAAAAAGGGAAAAAACAACAATTTCATGTTCCTTCCTCTTTATTCTATCAGAGTCAAATGCTGCTCTCGCCGAGTCACTGGCCTACCAGTTCTCCAGGTAGATGCGATCCCATGAGGTAGACACTTGTGAATGATTTCCTGACTATCCTAAGAAATGAACTTTTGGGGACGCTTAGCTGTCGGAGTGGTTTATGTACCCATGAACTCTACCCCTCTCTTGAATCTCTGAGCAAGCCGGTTTCCATTGGTGACCAAATTTAGCACTAGCTTTGCCTACCTTATGAACGACTGCAGACCTACCAGAGGAAACACTAAGTGCATGGATAGAAGCCACTCTCTGTAACAAAATCTCGCCAGTATGTCTGCTTAATGGGAAAAGATTTTGTACAGGAGGCTGAACACCGCAGGGGGGCAAAGGAAATAATAAGATCATTAAAGTGTAGCCTTTAAAAAAATGTATTTATTTGAGAGAAAGAGCGTGCGCATAAGTGGGGAGAGGGGCAGAGGGAGAAGGAGAAGCGGGTTCCCTGCTGAGCAGGGCGCCCCACATGCGGCTCGATCCCAGGACCCTGAGAGCATGACCTGAGCCGAAGGCAGACACTTCACTAACGGAGCCACCCGGGAGCCCTGTGGCCTCCTTCCTGAGGACTTATTGCAAATTGACTAGGCTAGGCCACTGTTCATTTACTGGGGCCATAGAGTGGACATAAATACGGACTTTAATGTCTGCTCTCTCTGCATATTTAATAGTATATTTAAGGATTTGGTTGAACAGTCTGGCAAATGCAATTCTAACAAATCAATGAAAAACTTACTATGGAATGCTTTATCATTCTCTCAACGATTCAAATGGAATGAATGAACATTTCGTATTTTGAAACAAATTTAGGAGTATTTTCAAGAGGATGATGAACAGATAAAGTGAGTTGTGTCCAGGCCATGAAAGATGCAATGGCAGGGGAAATGAATGGACTCCGTGACTGTATGTGACCCTCAGAATCAAAATACTGAAAGACAAAGATCACAGAGTACGGACACCATGACCTCATTTACAGAAAGCTCAAAGTCATGCTAAGCCGACAAACTGTTTAGGCAAGGAAATGATTTCAAAAAAAGCAACATCAACAAACCAACCACCACCACCAAGCTCCAGGAGAGGGGTGGGGTTGGGGTATGTAGGGAATGTGACCAGTGAGGCCTACGGGAGCCTCCTGAATCCTGGTCACGTTCTAGCTCTTGACTTAGATGACGGACACGTGCAAACCGACTTACTACTGTTCTTAAAGCTACACACAGATACGCCCATATGGCCTTTATTTAAACATCTGAGGGCTGCCTCAGTAGCTCGGGCGGTTGAGCGTCTGCTTTCGGCTCAATCATGATTCCAGGGTCCTGGGATTCAGCCCCACTTGGGGCCCCCTGCTCAGCAGGGAGTCTGCTTCTCCTTCTGCCCCTCCCCACACATTCTCTCAGCCTCTCTCGAATTAATAAAATCTTTTAAAAAAATCAATTAAATAAAAAATAAAAATTCCTGGGACGCCTGGGTGGCTCAGCAGTTCAACATCTGCCCGTGGCATGGCCCCGGGGTCCTGGGATCGAGTCTCACATCGGGCTCTCCTCATGGAACCTGCTTCTCCCTCTGCCTGTGTCTCTGCCTCTCTCTCTCTCTGTGTCTCATGAATGAATAAATTTTTAGTTAAAAAAAATAAATAAATAAAAATTTGTTATGATACATGTATGATCATGCTTTTCATTTAATAAATAACATTCTCAATGAGTCTATCTCACTTCACGTTCTATATACAAATGTTAAGTTTTTTACCTCAGTTTATTTGTGAAGCAAACAGTATTTCTGAGAGCTAAACCATGAAACACAGTTTTTGAATAAGCTATACTACATAGAGATGCTGAAACCTCGTCCTAATACTACCTTTAGGATTCCTATCTCAGAACTTAGACATATTTGTATACATACTTCACTATTCTAGTAAGTAAATGCCCTAAAATCAGCAAGGGGCCTAGTCTAATACTAAACCATCTAAAATTGCCTAAATTATAACGTCATGGTGAAGTCTTCATACGATTTAAGGTGCTTAATACATATCACAATGAATTAACCAAAATGTTTGTTTTACATTGAAGGACCTCACCTATTTTCACAGTGGGATTAAGTGGCCATGAAGAAACCTCAGTACCTATCCATCCTTATTCATTTATTTAATAAAAAGTCATCAAGTTCCCCCTTCGTGTCTCATAGTATACCCAGTGTGTTTACTGTTGTTATTTCAAACCAGCACAAACTGAATACCTGTAGCACAGCCCCTCTCTGTCTACAGACACCACCACTCGGTGGGAAGAAGAAACAAGAGGATATTCACCTTGTGACTATTTCCCATGTCATACAAGGACCCTCTTCTTTATACTAAATTCCTCCCCTTCGGAAAAAGCTCTATGTGACAGCATCTTAGGACAATAATTTCTATGGTTACTTATACCAACACCATAACCTTAAATAATTCTAATTGATATTTGAATTATTGTCGCAACCACAAACAGAAACGAGGAACCCACTGTGTAGAACATGAAACTATCTAACCAAATGAGATTTGGAAAGAATAGCAAATGTTTGAAAAGAATAGTAAATGTCTTGAGAAAAAAAATGCATACATTGTGCTGAATAAATTTAGTGGAAATATGTATAAGCAAAAAACAACAAAAAAGTCTGAGTCGAAAGCAAAGCAGAGAGCCCACTCTACACCTCTTTAAGTGAAACGTGGATCCGGGGCATCTGGGTGGTGTAGTCGGTTAAGCATCAAATTCCTGGTTTCAGCTCAGGTGGTGAACTCAGGGTCGGGAGTTCGAGCCCCGTGTTGAGCGCCTCGCTCGGAGTGAGTCTGTCCGAGATTCTCTCTCTCCCTCCTCCCCCCCATGCTCTTGCATGTGCTCGCCTCTCTCTAAAATAAATAAATAAATCTTGGAAAAACAAAAATCAAAACACGAAACAGAAGAGTCACTCTCTGGGAGCTTCATGATCATTTTAACCTGTCCAGCGAGTTAATTCTGAGTCCCCCTAGAACATACAGCTCTCCAGTCTTCCACTGTATACAGTCTACATTACAGAGTTACACAGCATATATATAACCGAATAGTATCTGATTTAGTCGTGGACTTTGGAATAAAATACGACATTTGATACCAACTTTTCAGTCTTATTTTGTAGATGAAGAAACCCAAGTTTGTTCATTGACCTGAGGCCAAGACTCCTGGTTTCCAGTCATCCTGTTGTTTAACACACGCGCCCTCTTCAAAGAATGGATAAATCCAATGACCTCCTTTGATGAGACTTCAGATAATTTATGATAAGAAAGAACGCTCCATGTTCCTTCGCCTTTCCAGAGCCAGGAGGAGTGACGTGTGACTGACCGACACCAACGTGGCATCGTGAGGACCCACCCTTCC